GTCAACTTTTCTAACACTTGCAAAGCAACACAAGGTAAGTAAAATTATCAAACTCAATGAGATGTCCAGGGTGTAGAGTTGCGTTAATCTGACCTACCACGTTCTCCAAGCAATCTCAAGAGAAGAAAGCCTTTGGCTTCAGAATCAGGATTCAGTGTACTGACTTGATTATACCACACAGGACTCACTGTGTTCCATTAAAACTCAGGTCTGTTTTAAAATAGTATCATTAGGGAGCAGCCGCTTCGCTTTTATTTTCCCCTTTTCATTTGGTTGTTTTCTCCTGGTGCTCTGGATTGAACTGGGCTTTGGGACTGCGGATCCAGGCCCTCATTTGGGTTTGGGTTTTAGTTTAGGCTGGGTCTCTAAGTTTAGACTGGGTCTCCTCTCTAAGTTGCCCAGGCTGGCTTTGAACTTGTGATCCTACCTAACACTCTAAGAGTAGCTGGATTACAGGCGTGGGCCATCTCGCCCAACTACCTACCATTTTCTTTTTATGTACATTTTGCTGTTTGCATGAATTGTTGGAGTCCACATGACAACATACAGGTAAATCACAAACTCTGCGTGGTTGACGTGCTTCTTCCTCACCTTTGGCTCCTGGCCTTCTGGGGCAGAGCACGGATGCCAGGTGGCCGCCCGCAGGAGCCAAGATCACAGATGTCCTTCCTGGACATGCCCTGGGCACAGCGCCGCTCTCCCTGGAGCTGTCCTGGGAAGCTCAGGAGCCTGCTTATGTATCGGCTTCCCTCGCTTTCCCTTTGCTCCGTGGCGTGTCTCGGGAGAGCCTGACTTAGAAAAACGTGTTTCACAAAGCCAGTGCTAGACGCTAATGCAGCTGGAAGTGAGCAGGGAAGGGGCTGTCCTTGAACTGTCCGGGGACACTGGTGTCTCCACCCGTGCCCTGGCCAGCTGTGGTGCTGGGGTGAGGGTCAGGGGACTGAGGTGCATGGTCAGGGCCTTTGGGCCTGGTGGCTCTGGTGGGGGCTGTGGACTGGACTCTCGGGGGAGGGTTGGACGCGGGGCTGGTGATGTCCTGGGCAACCGCACTGCGGGCCCTCAGTGCGACCTTGCTCCGAATGGCTGTCTTCAGCAGTCCTGACCTGCCTGTGATCTGCAAAGTGTGCTGCCCTTAATTGGACTGAAATGTGCATGAATACTAGCGTGCATTTGTCCAGCTGTATTTTCTTTCCGGCTAATGTATTCTTTATTGAGCACCTACTGTATGCCAGCACCTTGAGCATTCAGTGTGGAGTCAGACAGACACACTGGGGCCCATCTGCCCTCAGGGAGTGAGACTGAAAGTTCCTCGCGATCTCCATGGACACATTCTCTGTCAGACAGCACCAGGCACGAAGCTGTGTAGCGGCTCTGCCCACACTGCACTGGTTTGCTGCCATGTTGCTTTAGGAAGCTCGAGGGATCCTGGGAGCTCTCCATTCTGTGCCACAGTTGGTGACGGAGGTGGCCGTGGGCAGCACATGGGGTAGTGTGTCTTTGACCTTATTGGCACCGGCAAGAGCTGTGACTTGGACCTGGCGAAAGACGAGAGTCACGAGGGGTAACTCACCTGGGTGGGGGGGAAGCTCCAGTCGGGCCTTAGAAAAAGACCCCAGTGAAAGAACCAGAAAGAAGGAGCTCAGCGAGCCCAACTTTGGGAGGCCGTGAGCTCTAACACCTGCCCAGGTGTGCACTTTGGGAGGGTGAGGCATGGGCCTTCAAGACCCAGATGCATAGACAGGTGGGGGAGCGAGTCCCCCATCTCGGGGAGCAGCCTCTCCCTGAGGCCCAGGAGCCCTGGAGGGGTTGGTGAGGGGTAGAAGTGGGGTGAGCTTCGAGCAGATGCAGGGAGAGGCATCTGGGCCACGGGCTGCAGCTGCCGTTCAAGAACTCTGGTGCTGACGCTCCTGACACTTTTATGGTATCTCTGTGCCAGCTAAGAAAGGAGCTGCTTTAGAACAGAAAGTATTTGGAGCAGGGTAAGAAACTCCAGACAGGAATTGGCCCTGGTTCTTGTGAGCATGGAAGGTTTCCTAAAAAGGTCAAGAAATGAGCAGAAGCAGAAGAAAAGGTCGGGAAATCGAGGAGGTAAATGAGGGCTCTGGAGCTTCGTGTGTCCCTCCTGGTGGGCATGACACCCTGGGACCCTGAGTCACTGTGCTTGCTGGGCTGGGGAGGTGCCCCAGAGTTGCTGGGCAGGCCCCTGCGGCTGGGCCGCCAGCATCTCCCCCATCACTGTGGGAGGAGGCTCGCCACGCCACGCGGTGTGACCTCCACTCGTGGAAGATCCAGTGAAATCTCAGCAGCACACACGTGGATGTTTTAAAGTCGTCATCATTACGTAACATACACATTTGCAGGCATTCTGCCTCACAGAAAGATGTTATCGTCGATGATTCACATTCGCCAGATTAGTTTTTTTTCTAATTCCCAAAACTTTTATGAATGAATTAATGAATGTTGTATGCTCTTGTTAAAAGACCCAAGTTCAAAAAAAAAAAAGTGTGTGAAGGGAACCAGTCTCTTTGAGTTTGTACTACATGCATTTTTCCTGCCATAAAACATACTGCTTTTTAATAGGAACCTACATTACACTGCTGTGTTTTGTTCTGCTTCATAACTATCCTGATGTACTTTTCAGAAAATGAATACCTTCCATTAGCACATTTCCTAAACTGTCACCCTGCCAGATTTGGGGTTCACTTGTGCTCCTGCACCCCAGCTGGCTGGCCATCCAGGATGGTGGGCTCCTCTGGCCAAGACAGCCCTACTCTGGAAGGATTCAGAGGCACTGCTTTGTTCTCAGGCTTTAATATTTTAATGAGCCTGCGGGCTTGGCTGCCTGGGCGCCTGAGATTCCTGAGTGTGTTGTTAGGGTTAGCACTTGGAGGAGGATTTTCATTAGGAAGCTCTTGTTTCACATTTGAGGAGAAGCTCCCCATTAGGAAAGATCTTTCAGCAGCATGGCTGGCAAAAAAGAAAAGGGCGGAGGGAAGCTTTTAGCTGTAAGCATTCAGGAGATATTGTATCAGTGGTCTGAGCTCTAAAGATTGGCTTCTAAGGATTAATTGGAGCCAATACATCTCAAGGGAGGGGAAGGAGATTTGTAGAGCAAGGACCGAAGTTGTTGTCCTCGCAAGGAGAGGACTTTTCTTCATTTTACAGTTGAATCAATACCACAACTAATTATTTCTGGTTATCTTTTATGGGTTTGTAAGACATTTCTTTTGTTCGGTGTAATAAAAAACCCATTGTTTGATCAGTGACTGGCTAATTATGATAAGTAATTTGAAACATTCCTGATGAAACTTGTCTGTTAATTAACATCAGTAGCACATGGAGACTAACAGGACAACAAAGTCAGTCCACGCCCTATTCCTGGGCATTGATGAGCTCTCTCTCTGTGCCATGCCCAGTAAACCCACATTGCCAACGGTTAAAAAAAATAAACAGGTGGGAAGGTCTGACTCACCTTGCAGGAAAAGTTACTGCAGAGTTACACAAAGGAATACGAAGGACCACAGCGGAGAAGGAGGTGACAAGTGTCAGTGGCCGCCTGCTCCTGTGGCTCAGAAGAAAGGGGTCCATTTATGTTTTTTAAGCTCAATTCCTAAATACATTTACCCCATCGGGATCTGAGCTGAAACTTTTAGTAAATGAAAGCGTGGATCTGAAAAGTTATAGTTGGGGGTTATTGGTCGTGTCTGGCTTTATGGTGACTGCCACAAAAATTGTCAAGTTTGATCGACTCAATGGCTTTTCTTTTATACTTTTAGATTTCTACCTGGACAAGGACTGGTACTATACCCACAGATAGGAGACAAATTGGATATTATTTGCCCCAAAGTGGACTCTAAAACTGTTGGCCAATATGAATATTATAAAGTATATATGGTTGATAAAGACCAAGCAGACAGATGCACTATTAAGAAGGAAAATACCCCACTGCTCAACTGTGCCCGGCCAGACCAGGATGTGAAATTTACCATCAAGTTTCAAGAGTTCAGCCCTAACCTCTGGGGTCTAGAATTTCAGAAGAACAAAGATTACTACATTATATGTAAGTATAATTCTATTCCTTTCTTTTATAGAGATTAGGATAAGTTAAATAGGTTTGTATCCATTCTTGTTATCTTAAAATTATTCTGGTATATAGTTTGGTAAAAATCCTTGCTTAGCTGGGCGTGGTGGCGCACGCCTATAATCCCAGCACTCGGGAGGCTGAGGCAGGAGAATTGCTGTGAGTTCGAGACCAGCCTGAGCTACACAGTGAGTTCCAGGGCAGCCTCAACTACATAGTGAGACCCTGTCTCAAAAAAAAAAAAAAAAAATCCTTGCTTAAAAATTGTCTACTTGTTTCATTTCAAAGAAACTTTAATTGAATTGGGACCCTTAGTAACAGTATTAATTAAATATAAATACCCAAGGAGGGAGAAAAAACTCCTCAGTTTCTTAGAATATTGAAATAAATAGATTATATGAATATGCTCAGCATCTCTACTAAGAAAACATTTTTAAGGACCTTTGGTGGGATTTTGATAGGTAAATCTGTGCAATGACTTTTCTCTCTATCCATCCATCCATCCATCTCATTCATTTAGCATTTGTTCTGGGCCATGACTATGCTTCAGTGATGCAGATTCACCAGGGAACAAGATGGCACAGTGGGTCCCTTCCCCCTGCTGTTACCAGTCCGGGGGGTGGCACTCGGGGGGCTTAAAGGGTGGGGCTTCCAGGCAAGGCGCCGTGGCCGTGTGGAACCAGGTTAGAAGCCAAAGACAGGACTCGTCTGCTCCCCGAGTGACTCATAAATATAAGCACTGGCATATGGTTTCAAGAATGGGTTAGATTCTGAGGACAGACAGTTCCTAGGCTGAGGCCCAGAGATGTATGGAGCGCATTGCGAGCTGGCCCCAAGCCGGGGGGTCCTCTGCGCCTGGATTTTGCCACCGTGATATCTGGGAGATTGAGACAGCTGCTTGCATGACTCAAGCAATAAAATGCTTTTCTTGAATATTTGCGGCTCGAAGTCACACTCTTAACTGGGTCGGATTCTCATTTGTTTCCCCGACCTGAGCTCGTTAGTTAGGGGACTGCATCTGCTGGCTGGGTCCCACAACTGCTCGGTGACCAGATTCAAGGCCTGGCTTTCTCAGCTCAGTTCCCTGATATTCACTTAGGGCCCCATGATAGCTGTTTTTTCCTATAGTAGTCATTAAAAGAGAGGTGGTCATAGACGCCTAATTATATCTGTTGCCGTGAAATGCCACAGAGATTGAAAAGCTGTTTTGAAGCCACCTTCGTGCACAGAGTGCTGCTTTCCAAGAATAAGTAACAAGAACAGGGAAAAGTGCTGAATTATATTGGTAGATATATAGATATATTTAATACTTGTCATAAATGGAAATAAATGTATTCTGGATTGAAACAAGGTGGATGAGTTGTAAGGTATACAAAATAACAGGGAAATCTTTGATACTATAGTTACAAGGTAAAACAAATGGGTATTTTAAAGTTTTTGGAAGCCTAAAGTTTTTGGAAGCCTAAAAGTACATGGTTTTTTTTTTGAGGCAAGGTCTCCCATCATAGCTCAGGCTGCCCCTGAACCCCGTATGTAGCCCAGGCTGACCTCGATCTCCCAGTGACCCTGCTGCCTCAGCCTCCCGAGTGCTGGGATTATAGATGTGTGCCACCACACCTGGCCTAAAAATACATATTGTTTTAAAGATCAGGTAAAGATTTTTTCAGTGGAAGTGAATGTCTAGCATGATATTTTGGGGGGACAGAAGTTGACCTCAGGTGAATCTGTGAAAAAGCTGTGGTCCTGGTAGGGTAGAGAGAGAAGGTGGGGTGCAGACCCCTGGGACCCCGTGCACCATGGTGGTGACATCACCCGCAGATGCATGGCTGTAGCCCAGGTCTCTCCCATGCATGGAAGGCAGACCCAGACCGACTCCATCCTGGTACTTTAGTTTATGACATTTCTAAGTTCCCACTGGGTACAAGGAGGGTTTCAATAAACATGAAAAGTTTAGCCATTAGTGAGAAATAATACTCAAGAAATGCAACCAAATAAACAGTTTATCAACATGTCTGCTTAATGTAGGAGCATTTCATAACTGCTTTGTACTTAGAAGCATAGTTTATCACTGTAATATAAATGCACACGGTAACAGCAGTGCTTACTTTTCTCAGAGCTCTTTATGTATATTAACAGGCAGCCAGGCTGCTCTGACCTCCCGAACCCTCCCTGGAATTATGGTTCACTGTGCAAAAGAGCAGGGTAGCTTGGGACAGCTGAATCTTAGAAAAGATTTTCTATCCATCCATCCATCTCATTCATTTAGCATTTGTTCTGGGCCATGACTATGCTTCAGTGATGCAGATTCACCAGGGAACAAGATGGCACAGTGGGTCCCTTCCCCCTGCTGTTACCAGTCCGGGGGGTGGCACTCGGGGGGCTTAAAGGGTGGGGCTTCCAGGCAAGGCGCCGTGGCCGTGTGGAACCAGGTTAGAAGCCAAAGACAGGACTCGTCTGCTTCCCGAGTGACTCATAAATATAAGCACTGGCATATGGTTTCAAGAATGGGTTAGATTCTGAGGACAGACAGTTCCTAGGCTGAGGCCCAGAGATGTATGGAGCGCATTGCGAGCTGGCCCCAAGCCGGGGGGTCCTCTGCGCCTGGATTTTGCCACCGTGATATCTGGGAGATTGAGACAGCTGCTTGCATGACTCAAGCAATAAAATGCTTTTCTTGAATATTTGCGGCTCGAAGTCACACTCTTAACTGGGTCGGATTCTCATTTGTTTCCCCGACCTGAGCTCGTTAGTTAGGGGACTGCATCTGCTGGCTGGGTCCCACAACTGCTCGGTGACCAGATTCAAGGCCTGGCTTTCTCAGCTCAGTTCCCTGATATTCACTTAGGGCCCCATGATAGCTGTTTTTTCCTATAGTAGTCATTAAAAGAGAGGTGGTCATAGACGCCTAATTATATCTGTTGCCGTGAAATGCCACAGAGATTGAAAAGCTGTTTTGAAGCCACCTTCGTGCACAGAGTGCTGCTTTCCAAGAATAAGTAACAAGAACAGGGAAAAGTGCTGAATTATATTGGTAGATATATAGATATATTTAATACTTGTCATAAATGGAAATAAATGTATTCTGGATTGAAACAAGGTGGATGAGTTGTAAGGTATACAAAATAACAGGGAAATCTTTGATACTATAGTTACAAGGTAAAACAAATGGGTATTTTAAAGTTTTTGGAAGCCTAAAGTTTTTGGAAGCCTAAAAGTACATGGTTTTTTTTTTGAGGCAAGGTCTCCCATCATAGCTCAGGCTGCCCCTGAACCCCGTATGTAGCCCAGGCTGACCTCGATCTCCCAGTGACCCTGCTGCCTCAGCCTCCCGAGTGCTGGGATTATAGATGTGTGCCACCACACCTGGCCTAAAAATACATATTGTTTTAAAGATCAGGTAAAGATTTTTTCAGTGGAAGTGAATGTCTAGCATGATATTTTGGGGGGACAGAAGTTGACCTCAGGTGAATCTGTGAAAAAGCTGTGGTCCTGGTAGGGTAGAGAGAGAAGGTGGGGTGCAGACCCCTGGGACCCCGTGCACCATGGTGGTGACATCACCCGCAGATGCATGGCTGTAGCCCAGGTCTCTCCCATGCATGGAAGGCAGACCCAGACCGACTCCATCCTGGTACTTTAGTTTATGACATTTCTAAGTTCCCACTGGGTACAAGGAGGGTTTCAATAAACATGAAAAGTTTAGCCATTAGTGAGAAATAATACTCAAGAAATGCAACCAAATAAACAGTTTATCAACATGTCTGCTTAATGTAGGAGCATTTCATAACTGCTTTGTACTTAGAAGCATAGTTTATCACTGTAATATAAATGCACACGGTAACAGCAGTGCTTACTTTTCTCAGAGCTCTTTATGTATATTAACAGGCAGCCAGGCTGCTCTGACCTCCCGAACCCTCCCTGGAATTATGGTTCACTGTGCAAAAGAGCAGGGTAGCTTGGGACAGCTGAATCTTAGAAAAGATTTTCAGGGGAGTTTCAGGTTGCCCTGGAGAGATTCTGCACAGGGCACAGAGCTTTCCCGGGAATTCTAGTGACCCGCACTTGGAGGGATTCCCCTGGTCACAGGCGAGGAGGACATTTCTGACACTCGGGAGTAGGCAGAAGCCAGGTCCTCACCCGCTCATCAACACATGAGTTTACCTTGCAAGGAAGTGAGCAATGAGAACTCACTTTATTTTTATTTTACTTTTTTGTTACCGGGGATGGAACTTGGGACAGTGTGCTTTCAAGGTAGGTGGCTGCACCACCAAGCTAAAACCCTGGCCCAAGAACTCAATTTAAAATAGTCTTAAAAACGAACGTTGACCTCGCGCATTGCTCCTTCAGGTATCCCAGGAGACCAGAAGCAGTTAAGGGATTTCAAAATGCTATCGGGGTCCATGCCACTCAAACGCACATGTAGCCGCAGGGACTTCATTCCCTCTGCCTTCGGAAGAAACAGGCAAACAGAGTGTTTGCGGACAGTGACTTTTCTATCAGTGCTTTCATGTCATAGCGTGGGGTAGTACAAAGGAACGTACCCAAGTTTACTATTATGCTTCGGGGGTGCACAGGATCGATTCACTGTGGGACAGTAAATAAAATTGGTGTGTGAGGAGCTGCTAGGAGATGACACACGTCCTGCTTCAGGTTTAGTGACTGGTCAGTGGGCGACTCCACTCTGGGCTGATTGTGTGCTGTGTCTGTGGAAATGGTGGTTGCCCTCGAACTTGGTTTACCTCAGTGGGATGTGCACACAGGGGCTGGTACTGGCTAAATCTCCACGTGAAGAATTAGGCCGTGGCCCAGAGCCCTACCTTTAAGTCTGCTGCCTGAGTTTAATGAGAAAAGTCATTTTGTTTCTTTGAACTTTAATTTCCTGCTCTGGAAAATACTTTGATTGTTGGTGTTGTTCTGGCTCATGGTGGAGGACACAAATCCAACACAGAATCACTTGAGGGTGTGGTTCTTCTCCACTGAAA